AGTTCTGTGACAAAATTAATTCGTTTATTCCTTTTGCTAGTTGAAAAGGGACATTATTATATTTTTTTGGATCTTATATTTATTTTAGTGGACTAGTATTGTATCTTTATCGTAAAGTATTATCCTAAAACGTTAAAAGGGCGAAAAAAAAACTATGTTTTATTTTATTGTGATTTACTTTTATTTTGTTGGTATTTAAATTTATAGTAGATATATTTAGTTTGTTTTAGATTTATTGCTAGTAAGATATAAATATATATTGAATTAATGGCATAAAAGTAGACACTAGATAGGAAAAAAATATACGCGAAACCGGCGGTTTAAAATTGGACCAAATCGTTAGGTTTAGGTTTGAGTTTTTTTTCAAACCGATCAAAATGGTTGGTTTAGGTTTGAGTTTTTCTCAAACCGGTCAAAACGGTTTGGTTTGAAAATTTGTCAAAAATCGCAAAAATCGGACCGCTTACACCCTTATCCTAATCGATATTAATTGGTGCAACATCTGCATTTATAATACACGATTAATTCTTTTCATAAGATGTGCCTATAGTAAATTTATTCATTAATTATAGTTAAATGATAGCAATCAACAAATAAAAGAAAATGAATAGAAATATCAAATGCGATAATGCCTTCTACAACTTTATGAGAATCATCTAAAAGGTTCCTAGTTACAATGCAACCATTTTTTCTGGCAAATCACCGTCTCAACAATTTTTACTCAATGAACTTCTAAAAGAATCAAGAATTCAACCACTAGTAAGAAATATAGATTCAGAAGCAATTGTAAATATTTGAATAGTTAATACATCTTTAGCAATTTGAAGGACAATCTTGTACTTATTTACATTCAATTTTCGACAAAATAATATGTCGAAATGTTCATTGGTCAAATATTTATAAAGACTATTTAAGTAATTCACCAAATTATTCTAGCAATTATCAGTAAAATATACCAATAAAGTTAAACTATAAATAATAAATTGAGTGATAGGACCAAAAACTCGAGACTTAAATAAACAAAAAAATATTGTCCAGTTAAAAAATTAAGGGATCCTAGAACAAATCAAAACAAAACAGCACAAGTACAATAAAATATAGCAAACAACTACTAAAATTTAAGAAAAAATGAATAATCTGTCATGGAAATTTAGCCAAAATTCAAGAAAATTACTAGTAGAAGGAAAATAAATTGTGTTTGAATTAAAATTTAGATTTTATTGTCTACACAATCGTTATGGTGGTTGATGAATATGGTTCAACAACCGTTGTTCAACATTTCATCTAATTTGATGGTTTTGCATTCACGATTTGTTATAGCTAATGGGCATTTGAGTATAGTTCAACTAATTAATTGGGATGAATAATTGTCTAATTGAGTATTAGGCTTGGATATTTTAATAGTAACCGAACATTTCGAACTGAAACAAAAGTTTTTTTTTTTTTTTTCAAAAATTAGAAATCGAAATCAAGAATTGATTGGGTCTAAATCTGTTCTTGGTTTTTGAACCAGAATTGTGGATACTAGAATGAAACTGTATTTTTATATAATTTTTTTTTTATTTTTTTACAATTTTTAGGCTACTAGAAAAATATAAAATCTAAACTCTAATTTGGGTAGTAACGTATCTAAAACCCTAAACTCTAATTCTAAGAAATTAAATTGTTGCATTTCAAATGTTAGTATATGTTAATCTTTGTAATTTGGACTTTATATTAATAAAAAAGTTCAATATAAGATTATGGTCTAAGTTAATGAATCAAAGTATTCATTCTTTGCAATTCGGTTTTCTTATTTTGTCATATTATTTACAAATTTAAGTGATTTTTTTAATTTTTTTTTATAACTCGTGACAATTTAACTTAATATATTCATAGTTTGGGTTATGTACCTTTTTTATTATCTTGAGTTCAATGGTTCTATTTTGTAATATACTTTTTTCTTTTGAGTCATATAACTTGATTTCTTATGTTTTGAAGAATTCTTAGTTAGATTTTCTTTCTTGCACAAATATTGTCAAATAGTAGCGTGTTGATATATGTATCGAAATGGTCTATATGAAAACATTTATTAAATGTATATACAAAAAAATATTATGGGTAAAATTGAACTGAAAGCTTCGAGTTTGGGTTTGATTCCAGTGATTATAAGGAGCTAAATACTTTCATTTAGAAAGTGGAAATTACATGGAGACATGTTTTTAAGGTTCAACTTCAAAAATTTTGTTTAAGGTTTGTTTATACAAAAATCAAGTGATATTTTAATATTTTAATATTAAATAATAATATAATTAAATTAAATTAATATACTCACCCACATCCCCGAATCGATATTTCACTGAAACCTTATCATCTCCATTCCCTCTCCACATATTCCCTTTTTTCTCTATCTCCTTCCATTCTTTCTCCACCAGCGCTACACCACAGTGGAGAAAACCGCCGCGCGTAGCGCAAAGAGCGTCACTACGCGAGGCGTGAGAGCATGCAGCGGCGCAGCGCTCATCTCCACTGGCAGGGTTTAATGCTCGTTACCTAGCGCAAGGAGAAATTTGGTGGTGGTGATTTAGGGATTTCCATAAGAGGAGGCTAATGTGCTGTAAATGAGGGTTGTGGTGTGGAAATGGGCCGAGTTGATGAAGTGGTGGTGGCAACGGGTAGGTCTGGTCTTTTTCGGGCATCGACGAATCAAGAACAACTTGTAGATCTGGTATTCGATACATTCTCGCCAGGGCCGTGACATTGAGGTTGTGCGTCGCAGTACCGTCACATCTATTTTCTATTTTTTTCTTCATTTTTATTTTTGCCTTTGTTTGGATTTTATGTAGAGGTGGTGGTGGATTGGTCGGTGGTTGTGGATTGAGGTAGAGGTGGTGGTGATGATGGTGGTTGCGGTACAGGTGGTGGCGGTGGTGATGCATCTGGTGCTGGTTTGTGGTGCATGCGGTGGTGGTGCGGTGCAGGTGGTGAAGGTGATAGTGGGGGATGGGTGGGAAGAAGAGTGATTGTGACTAATTATTTGATTGATTGTGACTAATAAATTGGTTATTTGTGAGCAACATGCTAAACAAATAATATGTTATTGATGAAATAGATAATTTGTGATCAATAAATAATATCACCTAAAGAAATGTGAAATTTCGATTAATTTTGTAATTGTGACTCACAATTTGTTAAGTTGTGATCAATTAATTTAATAATTTGTAATCGAGAAATAATTGTGATCAATTAATTTGATAATTTGTGATAAAAAAATAGTGCGTAATGTTGCCTTTTTTTGTATCGTAAGTGTACGATAACGTAACAAGTAGTATAGTGGACCCTTGAGTCCGGATATTGTTCACACGAAAGCAAGTAAATAATTATGATGATTGTGATTATTTTTCCTAACTACTTTTAACTAGTTGAAAATATAAAAAGATTACAGACAACAGATAATTAAAGATTTAAATATGTGACGAATATTAGGACATAATAATTTCATGTATTGATCACCTTAATTCTTAATTCAAGATTCATAACTTAAAGTAGTGTTCGATCGAATTCTTCTATTGTATTAAATTTACCCATCTCGAGTTCTTATTAAACCTATTTAACTAATTAAATTTCATATTTCTATGTGAATTAATTTTAATTAAACGAAATACTAGTTCTAAGAATTCATATTATGATCGTAATAATTAGTATATGTATATCTACACGTTATACTAATTTATTGAATTTTATTATATGGTCTAAACCTCAAATTCACCACTCAATTGCAAGAGACTCACATAATCATTAAATTATTGATCAAGTAATTTAATATATTAAACTTATAATAAAACCAACGCATAGATAAATATATCACAAAAATCTTGAATAAAAAAATAAAGATTCACAAGTTGACTACACAGTTTTCCGTAATATAAAAATTAGTTATTCATACCCTAAAAATAAAAATGCGCAAAAGTGGAACGATATTATCAAAAATTGGCGAAACATGAAACTTCGCGTCTGTTGTCTCATTTCTTTTCCTTCTCTCTCTGTCTCATCTTTTCTCTCTACGTGTGTTTATATATATATATCCAGCCACAACCACCATTTTTTTTTTTTTTAACTTTTAGCCTTTTTTTCTCCCCGTGTTGCCGTCTGTATATATGTATAGTTCTTTTTCTTTCAAACTACAGCCGCCAATCTCCTCTTTTGTATGTATCACTCTTTTCTAATTCGGTCTCCTCTATGCCTTTTTCAATCTGCCGCCTCACCATCTCTCTCTTTGTATGCGTGTAAATATTTCTCCAACTTAGCCGCCCAATGTTTATGTCCAATTTTAAGTCCAATTGATATCTTTTTTCTTCAAAGTCAGTCGTTAGCCACTAGTCCGAAAGGGGTCCAAGCCCACTTGAGTTCCATTCCCACTGAAATTCGAAGTTGAGGCCCATTTAATGTAATATCTCTCCAATGTTTCATCTTTCTCAAATATTGCAAGTTAGTCCTTGAGTTCATCAATTGTGCAACCAATGTCCTTCTCAAATTCTAACTTGTCGAATTTGATTCCAAAATTATAAATTTCATTCGATTTTGTCCTTCTTCCATTCCATTGCTTAGAAACGATTTTGAATTTTACCATTTGTTTTTCGCCACTTTGCATTCTTTTTTCCAATTTTTTTATCAAATATAAAGTTTTACCAACAAAATGCAATATAACATAAATTTGGTAGAATTTTACCCAAATGACAATAAAATATTATGATTTATGATTTCGAATAAGTGTAGAAACTACACTTATCACATAACATATTAATTTGAGAATATATGATCGATACAGAAATTGACATAAAATTTGTGATTGAGAATTAATACGCGAGCTATTAATTTGATAATACGTGACCGATAAAGAAATTGTGACCTATAATTTTTTTGATTTTTGATTGATAAATAATATACGATTCATTAATTTGATAATTTGTGACTGAGAAAGAAGTTGTAACCTATAAAATTTATAATTTGTGACCGTGACATCTATAATTGTGACAGTTCGTAATTGTGATCATAAATTGTATAATACTATGACCTTAATATATTTAATTAATAAAATATTTTTTAATTAATTATTTAATTAAGATCTGATTTTTGAAATAATAAACATAATTTCTTAGTTTTGAAATTGTATTTTGTAAATCACCTTATATATGTACTGTTCCTTTTACGAAATACCCGAAGCATATTGATGGTTATGTGTACTGAAATACCTGAACTGACTCATCGACGCTCAGATCTATTGAGTATTGAGTTTAATTGGATTGGACTTAATATGAATCCATTTTTTTTTTTGAGATGTGTTTAATTTTAATTGATTTGGATAAAATTTAAATTAATTTATTTTCATATTTTTTAATACCAGTTTGACAATTTGAAATAGTTTACAAAGATTAAAACTCAAATCAAATCCATTCGAAAGGGTTTGATTTGATTCAAAATTAAAATGTTGATGGATCCATATGGACCCAAACCAATAGTTTCAAAATAGCGATTTCGATTCGATTTGCGGTTTGACGATCGTGTTGTTTAGCCCTAAAGTTCATGCTACATTGATTAATGAGTGGTTAGGTTTTCTTAACAAAGTTTTTGAATAAAGAAGGAATTTTATTGTTGTCTTTAAATAATATTCTCTCTACTAGCTATTGCTACATTGCCGAGTACCTCCTTTTAACTGTGGAGGTCACAATAATGTCAGCGCGGTTCCTGATTAAGTCATTAAGTTACTAGTTAATCTGGTGAATAGAGTAATAAAATTACTTATTCATGGTGACCCTGAAAAATTATCTAACTTGGAGGAGATAGTTGAGTGATTTGATTTGTAGTAAGAGATGGTTAAAAATTTATAATGTGTGTGCATCTTGATACAAGGAGCAGTCTAGAGTAAGGCATTAATATATATTATATTGTAGGTTTTCACTATTATCAACTTGATCATATAATACCAATATAAAGCCAAGCCTGCAGGTAACTTGGAAGGCACCTTCTTCTTCCAATTTAAGTTAACCAGAGTCTACAGAGGATGACATGGATATCAGTCTAGAGTAAGACATTAATATATATATATTATATTGTAGGTATTGACTATTATCAAACTTGATCATATAATACTAAAGCCAAGCCTGGTAACTTGGAAGGCACCTTCTTCTTCTAATTTAAGTTAACCAGAGTCTACAGAGGATATGGATATGGATATCAGTCTAGAGTAAGACATTAATATATATATATTGTAGGTATTGACTATTATCAACTTGATCATGTAATACTAATATAAAGCCAAGCCTGGTAACTTGGGAAGGCACCTTCTTCCTCTGATTTAAGTTAACCAGAGTCTACAGAGGATATGGATATGGATTCAATGGAAGAAATTGTGATCGTCGGCGGTGGGATTTGTGGCCTTGCCCTCGCCCTTGCTCTTCACAGGTTACTTGCTAACTCGTTCCTTTGTTTAATTTTAAATTAAATAATATACCAGTATTGATTGTTGACATACAGGAAAGGTTTGAGAAGCATAATTTTGGAAAAATCAGAATATTTGCGTGATACAGGTGCAGCTATTGGCATCCGTGCTAATGGCTGGCGAGCACTCGATCAGCTTGGTGTCGCCTCAGAACTTAGACACAAGGCCGTTGCTATTCCCAGGTACAACAAGCTTCATTTTAATTTTGAATAAATAGTTGCACTTTTGATAAAATAAGCATTTAGAAATGGAAGGGCACAGGCGAGGGAAAGGCCAAGAATGGGGCGAACTTGAAATGAAGACATAGACAGACAGTGATGAGGAGGCCCGAGGCCTGCCTGTGGGAGACATTGGCGAAAATAAAATATATAATAGTTTAGCTTTTAGATGGGTATCAAAGTGGGCAAATATCTGGTTTCAAGTCTTGTAGCTGTTCTTTTGTGAAAATTGTGTCCGACTTCTAACAGAATGAAAGAAATAAAAATCTTGTCTAGCATGACAAAATTTAAATAAATTGATTTGCTATCTTTCTATTATCTTAAACTTTTAAATGAGGTGATTTGAAAGGAGGTATTGATTAGGGTGACGAAAGGAGGCGTATGTTCCCCTTCCTTGCTTCTGAGCCTAAGATTGGTACCATCATTGTTATTAAGTAGTTTGCACATTGTACAGGATTCGAGATGTATGGATTGATGTTGGAAAGCAAGAAGAAATACTAGAGTAAGATAAGTCATTAATCATAGAACTACTTCACTTACAGTAATGAACATCTGCAATTAATTAGATATCTAACAAAAAGCATTGGACAGAACTGGCGAGTTCCGTTGCGTGAAGAGAAACGATCTTATCAAAATCCTGGCTGATGCTTTGCCACCTGGAACAGTACGTTTTGCATGCCAGATTATCTCAGTAAACATGGACCAGGAAAACGCTTATCCCACTCTACATCTATTTGGAGGAAAGTCAATACGAGCTAACAGTACGTTTTGCATGCCAGATTTTCTCAGTAAACATGGACCAGGAAAACGCTTATCCCACTCTTCATCTTTTTGGTGGAAAGTCAATACGAGCTATGGTAATAGAGAATTGATCGCTGACTATTTATATGTTTAGATCCTTCATTCTATGTCGATTAGCATGATCTGAATTGAAACACTGGGGTATTCATCAGAAGTCACATTCAAGGGTAAATGTGATGCCAATTCTCCTGTTATACTCCCCAAGCAAGGGTGAACTGCATAATTAAAGAGTGTACTAGACAAACAATTTATTAGCAAACAGCATTGATTTTTCTGCTTCTTGTGTTACAGGTTCTGATTGGATGCGATGGATCCAGATCAATCGTGGCTGAGTTCCTTGGGCTTAAAACTGCAAGACCTTTTTCTCTTCTTGCAGTTAGAGGTTTAACCAATTATCCAAATGGTCATGTGTATCCTCATGAGTTCACTCGCATGAGGACGGGCAAAATCTCGGTAGGAAGAATTCCAATTAGTGATAATTTGGTACATTGGTTCGTGGTTCAACAGTCGACCCAATCAGGTGAAATCTTAACTCTTTCTTTTCTGCTTCCTAGTTAAAATGTGTTCAAGAATCACGCATAAGCGCTCTAATTTATCTTCTTTTGTCCTGGTGTTCATCATTACTAAATATAAACAGCTGAAAATTTTACACATGATCCGGAAACAATCAAACGATCAACCTCAAACATAGTGAGTGGTTTCCCAAGTGATGTAATAGAGATGATAGAAGGGGCAGAGGTCGATTCATTGTCTCTAACTCACTTAAGGCAGCGTGCTCCATGGGATTTACTGCTACCAACATTCAGGAAAGGAACGGTGACAGTGGCAGGAGATGCAATGCATGTAATGGTCCCATTCCTTGGACAAGGTGGCTCGGCAGCTTTAGAAGATGCCGTTGTCCTCGCCAGATGTTTGGGACAAAAAATAAGAGCTGAAGACTTGTCTAACTGTGGTAGGCCGATACTGATAGACAAGGCTGGAGAAGCAATCGATCAATATGTGAAGGAAAGGAGAAAACGGCTGGTGGCATTGTCAACACGAACATATGTTACTGGCCTTCTATTGCAAACACGATCGCAGCTGGTGAAATTCGCTGCAACTATGTTGTTGGTCATTCTGTTCAGAGACCCAATCGGTCACACTAAATATGACTGCGGTAGACTTTAGTGTAAAAAACAATATGACTTCCTTCTGTTATGTTACGATATCTTCGGTTTGAAAATTCATGTTGAAAACAGGGGAGCTTATGTAACATTACATCCTTTTGTATTCCCATGTGACAAATCCTGTATTTCCATGTTTTTAGGTAGTTTTGTGCTCTTTTGATTCCCATAAATCATTGACAACATGAACTACAAATATCTATGAAGTCCATAAATATTTGCCTCGCTTTTGCATTAAAACAAATGAGTTGTAATATATTTCTGCAATTGTATTGTGTTGTAAAATTATCTCTCACTTTCCTTCATTTCTGCACAAATTTCTCTCTGCACTTGATTTTCTGATTGTTGATCTCGGGGAAGTGTAAAATATTAAGGGCTTGTTCACTTTGTCGTTTTCAAGCCGTTTTCTGTTTTTAATTTTTCGAAACAGTGAAAATGCGTTCTCTTTATTAGTTTCAAAAATGCGTTTTTGAAAATGGAAAAAAACAAAAAACACTGAAAACGGAAAACGGCTAAAACACCGTTTTGGAAAAACTAACAACAAAACAAGGGAAAGTGGCAAAACACGGGAAACGGCATTTCTCAACTCTCTCTCCCCTCTACCGTGACGAAGGACGTTCCTCTCTCACAATCCCACAACCGAAAATTGAAATCAGATCGTGTTGCCAAATCGAACGATTCTCTACAAGATCTTCAAATCAAGGTTTTGATCTCTTCTTTCCAAATCGAAGGCCTCTCGATGGGCTGTTTCAATCAAGGTTTCCATCGTCAAATCAAGGTTTTGATTCTTTGCTTGTGATAATCTTTGGTTATTTGCTTGCTATTCCATATCTTAGGTTTGAAATGTGTTTGATTCTCGCTAGATCTCTCTGAATTCAGCTTTAATTTTTGTAAATTAACTAGTTTCATATCTGGGTTTCTAATTTTCCTTCCCAATTTCTCATCTTTTCTAATGTTGTAATTTTTGGGTTATTGGTTTCAAGTAATACGTTTCTTACAGCAAGTTAATTGCTTGTGTAGGAAGTTAATTTCTTGTGGTTAGGTGAATTTAGAGGATATCGGTTTGATTGAATTACTTCTGGGATTGAGGGGTAAACTATGGTTTGTCTTGGCTGATTTATTGCTGTTTGATGAATTTGGAGTAATTCTATAATGGGTGTGGTTTAATTGTTTGTGGGATTGTAGGGAAAAAAGATTTTTTTCCCCCCTTGATTTGTTGTAGTTTGGTGAATTTAGAGGAGTTGGAGTTGGTTTAATTATTTCTTGGATTGTAGTGAAAACCACGGTTTATCTTCACTGATTTATTGTAGTTGGATTAATTTGGAGTAATGGATTTGGTTTAATTGTTTGTGGGATTGTAGTGAAAAAAGTTCATGTTCTAGGTTATCGGCATTTCTTGTTCCATGAAGGAAGTTGGGGAAGATGGTATTGTTATCCAGGAAAGAGAGATTAAATGAATGCCATCTAAGGATAGATACAATCCTAGTGGAATTTTCAGTTGACAAAAGTTCATGTTCTAGGTTATGGGCTGTTGGAGGTGTAGGAGATGAAATAGTATATTAAAGAATGGAAAGATGAGAAAAAAATTTAAAAAGTCACTGCAAATTTTTATTTCCACCATATATCATTTTGTTTTGAATTCACTTTATTGGAGGTGGAAGTAGATAAGCTGTTAATAGATGGTAAAAGAGGTGGACGTACTTGGAGAGATTGAGATAGATTTCTACCTAATAAGAAGTTGATGTATGCAATTTATTGCAGGTAATTTCCTTCAATTGCCTATGTTGCTTCTTTATTTCCAGGGATGCATTTCCTGCAAGACCTTTCATCATTTTCCAACATTTGCTCCACTTTGATTCTGCGAACCACCAATGGTTTGCTGGCTGTAATATGCAGGATTCTGGTTTATGAGATTATCACTCATTTAAGGCCATCTCTTGATGACAAGAAATCAACTCTTTGTGCAGTGATCTTGTCATTATATACACTGCACTGGTTCTTCACCTTTCTTTATTGTATAGATGTAGTATCTCTAACGGCAGTTCTTGCCATGTATCTTTTAGTTTTGAAGAAGAAATATCTATTCAGTTCATTGGTAAGGGATGACATGAAGTGCATTTTATTTGTTTCTAGTCAGTAATATGTCTGATGGTGATTAAAGTTTATTGTTTTTGATACGTTGTTTGGATATCAATTTGGGATCACTTTCTAGTTTTGGTTCACCTGCATGATTTTTTGAACATTCTATAAGCAAATTGGTGAAGTATCTTGCTGTGTGATTTCTTTATACAATTTGAATGTGGTCGCTTGGAGCATGTATCTCTCTTCTTTACGTGTTTTGTTTTTCCTCCTGCCATTTTATTTTTATTTGTTGATTATGTCCCCCCAAATAAATCACATGGAAAGACTTTAGATGTTGTCCACTTGACAGTTGAAGACCACGAGATGCTTTAAGATGTAAGCAACAGGAAGCTGACTCCCGGAATAAGTAAGAGTCAAGAATTTGATACCGTAAAAACGAGGTTGTGCAAGCACCACAGGCTGAGTAAAAGTAGTAGTCATTCCCCAACAAGTGAAACAAAGAGAGACCCTTCCCCATTAAAAGGCCATCTTCTATTCCCATCATTAACTTCAACATCGACCGCATCAAAGCATTGTACATCATCGATTGAGTGGACACAATTTAAAGCACATAATGAAATGTCCAGTTATCCAATTGTCTTCATCACCTGTCCTTGAACCAGGATAAAAAATCGTAGTTGGGGTATGTTGAAGATGAAGAGTTGTCTGTGTATACTGTTTTGCTTATCAATTTGTAAAATGAAGAATTGGGCTGGGGAGAAATATGATTGCTTTGAAAGAGTGCCTATTGGGCTTTAGTTTTCATTAGTATGCGTACAGAATGCTCTTATAAATTTCCTAATAATTATTATTCCTTTTTTATGTTTTGGTATGTAGGATTACGATTAATGCCATCATGACATGATTCTTGTTCTTTAAATTTAGTTTGCTAAAAAAATTTGAGATATATATTTTCTTCTAGTGATAATATATATGTTGTCTAATTTAATTTAGGTTGTATTTTTTATATCTGAAAAAAAAAATTAAGGTTCACCAACTTCATATATGTTAAATTTAAGACTATACTAATATTAAACTATTAAAATTTATTGAATAATTAGATTTTTTAAATAAAATATTAT